CGTGCGGTGCTGACCGGACCACGGTTCTCAGAGAGATGCCCTGCGTATATCCGGTGTTAGCTGTGCGGTGCTGACCGGACAGCTGGTAGTGGGCCAAGGGCAGAGAGGGCCTGGTGTCAGCTACAGTGATACCAGCACTCCAGAGTCTGGGACAGGAGGATTGCTAGGAGCTCATGGCCAGTCTGGGTTATAGAATAAGATCCCTGCTGTTAAAACAAAAAAGGTTGGAGGGAGGAATGGGGACGGGATAATGATATATTTTAACTTAAAGGGGGAGGGTTATAAAAGAGATCCCAGTGCTGGGGTTCCAACACCCACAGCAGGAGGCTCACAAATACTTCTGACTTCAAACTTGAAGAATTGGGTGGGTTTTCTGGCCTCTAGGGCACCTACACATGTGTATACACTCAACCAAATAGAAATTAAAAATCAGGAAAAACGAGGTGGGGGCCTAAGTGACTCAGCAGGTGTCTTGGGGTTTCTGCTGCAGTGGTAAATGCCAGCAAAGGAAACTTGGGGAAGAAAGGGTTTATTTCAGATCACAGCCCATCCTTAGGGGAAGTCAGGGCGGGAACCCTGAGGCAAGAACTGAAGCAGAGGTCAGGGAGGGGTGCGGCCTACTGGCTTGTTTTCCAGGCTTGCTCTGCCTGCTTCTAGAGAGCTTCCAGGACCACCTGCTGGGGTGGCCCCACCCACAATGGGTTGAGTCCTCAAACAGCTGTCTTCAGGCAAGAAAATGCTCACAGACTTGTTGTGGTGCTGAGTTAGAGGCCAGCAAAGATTCTGTCTTCCTGAAACTGGAAAGATGGCTGGGAGTTAAGAGCACTGTCTGTTCTTCCAAAGGACTAGGGTTCAATTCCTAGCACCTACAGGGAAGCTTAGCTCTGTTTACGTAATTCCAGTTCCAGGGAGTCTGACCTCTCTCTCTCTCTCTCTCTCTCACTCACACACACACACACACACACACACACACACACAGACATGTAGGAAAAACACCAATGCACATAACAAATGTCAAGTCGGCACAGAACTAGCCAGCACGGAAATAAAGGTGTTTGTTACTAAGCCTGATTACCTGAAATTGAACCCAGAACTTTTTCTTTTCCTACCTTCCTTTCGCAGTTTGTTTGTTTTTTCAAGTCAGGGTTTCACTGTGTAGTGAACTCTGTAGACCAGCCAGGCTGGCCTTGAACTCAGGACCCCCTGCCTCAGCCTCCTGAGTGCTGGAATTAAAAGGCTTGCATTACCATCACCCAACTGACCCCAGAAACTTTTAATGAATTAGGTCCATGCCAGTGCCTTTCTTAAAGAATCCAAACTGTAAAACAGCTATGCACTCATCCGCAGAAAGTGTAGTGGTATCGAAAGGGCTTTGACAGACAGCCCAGATCAGGGGACTACAGAGTCCCCAATTTGTAAAGCTCACCACGAGTTTTGGTTCAGGTTGTGCATTCCAGAGCTGAAACAATTATTTAGCAAGGAACTGAATGGCTTGAGCGCCCCCTGCTGATCAGTGCTGGGAATGTGCCAGAGGCACCCACCGGCTGGGCAGTCTCATGCTTCCCAGTGGGGTTCAGTCTGTGATAATGACCCAGCTGCCCACGAAGGACATTCGCTCACCCATGCAAGGCATATCTCAAGGCAGCTTATCTTGTTTATTGAAAATGTGTGCTTCTTGTGCTCGCTCCCTACCACATGGATTTTGGAATCTAGAGGTTTTGTTGTTAACTTTTAAAGTTAGCAAACAAAGTAATGGTTTTTATTACAGGATTGGGTTGGGAGTACCAGGGTTAGCACCCAAGTTCTGAGTTCTATCCTCTCACGACACAGATGACTGGGAGCTGCCATGTGGGTGCTGGCAACAGAAGCTGGGTCCTCTGGAAGAGCAGCTCGTGAGCCATTTCTCCAGCCCCACTCTTTTTTGCCAAGCTGTCAATTGACTTGATAAAAGTCAAACTGTACCATGAGTTCTTCCTCCTCGATCTGGTTGAGGCTTTAAGGCCCCGCTGGTCCGGCTGGGTTCGGCCGGGTTTAGTGAGCCCAGCTGGGGTACCAGCTTTCTTCCAGGGACCGTCTTCTCTCATTCCACCCCTCCTTTCTCTCTTCACAGCTGGCCTTGAACTTGAAGTAATGCTCAAGCTTCTGGGTTGGCAGGCGTGTACCGCCAGGCCTGGCTTTGAGCTCCACTGGCATTTGGCAGTCACTCAGGGCCAGGCTTGGCCCTGCCCCGGGCTGAAAGCAGCACATTGGAAACTCCCCAGTTGCTTCGCATTCTCCAGGCTCTGACTGTGCTCTTTCTGGTTACTTTGGTAAGTCTCTATCATGTGTTGTGTCCCATGTTGGGGTCAGAGGTGGGGTGTCCTCCTCGACTTCTGTCCTCACTACTCTGGTCCTCCTGCCTCTGCACTCTAACAATTGAGCCATCTCCCCACCTCTAGCGGCTCTGTTTTTACCCAGTTTTATCTTTGTTTTGTTTCTGGAAATGCGGGAGTTCAAATCCTGTTCACAACCTTTCAGTGGTGGTGGCATTTTGCCCTCTAGTGGTCACAAGTGGACAGAGACTTACCCACCAAAAGGCCCTCTAAATCCTAGGGAGGTTGTATGGTTGACAGAATCTTATCAAAATAATACACAAAGCCGTAAGTTATGCACACAGAAAAGATCGGGGTGCCCTGACGCACGCTTGGAAGACCGGGGTGCCCTGACGCACGCTGGTCATGTGAGACGTTGGCAGTGAAGGCAGGAGGATCGAGAGTACAGGCACATAACACCCTGCCCGGAATACGTTTTATTTTTAAATATTGGCAATAGACTTACAGGATGTCAAGCTATAAATATACAGGACACCACATACTGAACACATCTTTCTACCACCTTTACCTCACTACTGCACGGCCAGTGTTTCCCCATCAACAGTTTACCCAGATCTCAGGACTCAATTTATGTTCTCTCTTATTTTGAAACAGTCTTTTGTTTTGTTTTTCCTGAGACAGGGTTTCTTTGTGTAGCCTTGGTTGTCCTTGAGATAGCTCTGTAGACCAGGCCTGCCTCTGCCTCCCAAGTTCTGGGATTAAATACATGAGTCAGTCTTATGTAGCCAGGCTAGGCTAATATTTGCAGCAATCCTCCTGCTTCAGCTCCTGAGTGCTGGGATGAGTGCCTGGGCCACCAACCCAGGCTACCTGAGATGAGACACTTGGGGCTGCACTGACGGCCCAGTGGTTGAGAGCAGCCACTGCTCTGCACAGGGGAGCAGCGGTTGATCCCAGCGGCTCGACGAGGCTGTCCCACGGCGGAACTCGAGCTCCAGGGGCTCACACAGGTTATTAGGCTCCGTGCAGGCACAACCCCCCCCACCCCGCCCCACATACATAACAAACATTTTTAAAATTAAAAGATAGGAACTCTTGAACACTTCCTTAGTGTGTGCCCTTTCCTGTACAAAAAGAAAAGGAAAAAGGAAGCTACCTTTTACTTGGAGCTGGGGGTGCAGGTAGGCCTGTGTCACTTTTGAAGAAGTTCATACAGGGCCTTTAATCCCAGCACTCAGGAGGCAGAGACAGGCAGATCTCTGTGAGTCTGGGGACAGCCTGTTCTACAAGAGCTAGTTCCAGGTCAGACTCCAAGGCTACAGAGAAACCCTGTCTCAAAAAAAAAAAAAAAAAACAAAACCAAAGGAAAAAAAACAAAACAAGTTCAGAGGGCTGGGGGGGTGGAATACAGAGGAGAGCTGCACATACTCAGGAAGTTGGGGTTCCTTTTTGTTTTGTTTTGTTTTTTCCAAACAGGGTTTCTCTGTGTAATCCCGGGTATCCTAGGATTCGCTCTGTAGACCAGGCAGTCCTCGAACTCAGAGATCCGCCTGCTTCTGCCACCTGAGTGCTGGGATTAAGGGCACCACCACCGCTGGGCTGTGGGAGTGTGCTGGGTCTGCAGGGGATGCTTGCAGCTAAGGGCACATGGGGGCAGCTCCAGGCCTGGAGGTCTCTAGCTAGCTGGCCCGGGAATGTGTTATGCCCTGAGCCCGTCCGTCCTTTCTGGGCAGTGCTCTTCGGTCCTGACTGAGCCTGGAGGAGACTTGACTGACAGGTTCCTGTCCCTGTGTAGTCAAAAGTGGCTGAGTCAGGTTCCAGGAGCTTAGGGCCCAGGACTGGAGTGGCCCGTACCTCAAGCCCTCTCTTTCTGCGGCCACCTACAGTGAGACACCAGACACCAGTTGGTTCACATGCAGGTTTATTAGATCATAGCTCAGGCCTGCATCACTGGCCGGGACATCTCCGCCTGTAGCTTCACTCCTGAACCTGCGAAGCCTGTACCGCCCTGGAAAGGAGAAAAGAACAAGCTGAGGAGCCTGCTGGGCTGGCCCAGGCAACAGCAGTGGTTCCTATGTGGACTAGGGAAAAGTAAGTCCTAGGGCAGGAGATGGAGAGGCCCTGGGGCACAGGAGAGATGGTGGGGGTGGGGCTGGGGTGCGCACTGGCAACTCACCCGCTGCAGCACGATGATGTCGCGCTCTGTCAGCGTGTCCCCATTCACGGGGTCCACCATGTCCTTTCGAATCAGTTTCTCGACACACTCCAGAGTGACCACAGCCCCACTGCAGGGAGACAAAGCAAAGGTTGGCCCTAGGACATCTTGGGGTCCCTCCAGACTCTCCTCCCCAACCCTACTCACGAGGGCCGCAGCACTGCACACGGCGTGGCGTTGCTCAAGCTGTCTCGGGTCACTGCACACACGTAGCGCTCACTGCGTGTGATGAGCCCCACGCGGTCCACAGAGTCGTCCAGCTGCGTGAAGCGCACCGGCGTCAGGTCTGACATGCGCAGTGGCTTCCCAGACATCGGGCAGGTCACAGTGCGGGACTGCAGGCATAGGAAAAAGGTCAACAGGGGAGAAGGAAGGTCAGAGGTCAACATGTAAGGGGCATGAGGGGCTGGAACACTGAAAGCTCACTGGTTTTTCCAGCTTTGTGGCCTTTGCCTCGGGTGTCAGTGAGGGAATCCAGAAGCTGGGCAGCATTTTGTCCTTGTCCTTCCCTGGGGGACCCGCGCTGGGCCCTGGCTGCTCACCATCTGTGGAGAGAGAAGCTGGGGTACGCACCTCAGAAAGCCATCCCCTGAAGACCACTGGCCAAGGGCAGGTGTTCCCTGTCACCTGTGTTGGGTAAGGTGGCAGCCTTGGGCATGAAGGGGTTGAGGGGCCGGCTCACAATGGCTGCCTCCTTCTCCAGGAAGCCTCGGGCTTGGTCCTCGGCTGCCGCTCGCTGGAGCTGTCTCTGCTCTTCCCTGCGGGCTCCTCGCTGCTTCTCATAGGCCTAGGGGAAGAGGGGCCTGGCTCAGCACCCACCAGCGGGAGGCTAGAGCCCTGAGCAGCTCTGGCAGGGGCTGGCAACCGTTGATGCTTTTGTGTGATAAGGTAGCCCTGGCATTTCTGAGTCCTTGGTTTCCTATTCAGATAGCGTGGGACCCAGAGTCTTCTTGTTGGGAGGGCCTGCTCAAGGTGAGACAGGGGCTCATAGAGCCCAGGCTGGCCTGGAATGCAAGGGTGGCCTTGAACTCCTGATTTTCCACGAATCCAGTCACGTCCCACCACACCTGGTTATTTGGTGCTGGGTGTGGGACCACAGGCTTCCTGCACACTAAGCAAGCACTCCAGCCACACAGGGTCGTTTCCAAAGTGCTGAGACTGAGAGGCACACAGTAAGCGCTCAAGAAAGCAAGCGAGCTGGCCAGGGAACCCCTGTCCTGCCACAGGGAGCTTGACCTGGAAGTCTGTGAGCAGCACAGTGTGCTTTGTCCTGTGTGACCAGAACAGGAAAGTCTGCTCCTCGCTCAATCCCGTGTGACCAGAACAGGAAAGTCTGCTCCTCGCTCAGTCCCCCTGGCACTCAGCAGGTGTCAACAGTGACCATGAAGGCCTCGACAGTGGTGCCATGAGAGGGGGAGCCTGGCTAGCCACCGTGCTGTGAGGAGGACATGGAGTCTGAAGAGGCTGGGGAGTGGGTGCTGAGCATGCTGGGGCCAGCGGCGGGAAGCAACAGCACTGCAAACGCTCGGCTGATGAGGGCTGGCTTCCAGCCCTGGCCCAAGCAAAAACAAAACAACCCCTCAGTGTGTCCTGAGTGCCAGAAAGCCAGACCAGAGTCACAGTGGGCACCTAGAGAAATCTGTCTCCCACTTGCTCAGTGGGGCCCTCTGGTGGTCATCACACATCACACACCTCTGCCATGTGCCTGGAGCTGAGGAGAGCCAAGGAAGCTGCTCCTGCAGAGTGCAGCCCAGCACAAGCACAGGGTGTGGGGCACACAGGGGCCTCAGGTTACTAGAGCAGGGTGAGTCCCAGAGATCCTGGCCTAAAGGAGGTCAACACAGATGCTGCCTGGAAACATCTGGACAGAAGTGGGAGTGGATGCTGCTCCAGGCAGAGACCAGCATCAGGGAAGGGCCCTCAAGAAAAGGAACTGCCCCGCTGAGTCCCTTCCCTTCTCCTCGGTACCCATCACCTTCATCTGCCGGGCAATCTCTTTCTTCTGGTGTAAGATGTACTCCAGGATTGCCTCCCGTTCATAGAGGTAGCCATCTGGGCTGCAGAGAAGGGGTGAGGAAAGCATGGGCCTGGGCTTCATCACAAGATGACATCCACTCACTTCTATATCCATTCATGCCCACCCTGGGTACACCACCGAGCATCCTCACTCCAGCATCCATCCATTCACGCCCACCCTGGGTACCACCACCGAGCA